CTTGTGCTTGATGATGCACGTTCTATAACTGCAAGACAACGAAAGGTCGATGAGCAACGGGGAAGATTCTGAATAACTTGACTCAAGAATAGGAAAACATAGAAATAGATGGGTTCAAAAAGAAAAATGAAAAAATGAACGATAACCAAATGATAACTACAGCAACACTGTAATCCACTCGAGGCCCTATCAGAACAAAAAAAAAGTTACAAACCGCATCACCACCGTTATCCCAGTAGTAATCATCATCATCCTCATCCACATTTAGAAACTGGCTAGTATTTTTTGATGATTTCCGACGATTAACTGAAAAAGATCATAGACAAAGATGGATATATGCAAAAAAGCATACGGCTCACTTCTTCCCGCTACTCCTCCCTTTCCAAGGCTAAGCCTTCCCCGGTAGACTTTTTGCGAAAGCATTTTGTTCGTCTTCCTTGAACAACCTGGTTAGTGAGATAAAAGACGAGGTATACAGACATGAGGATTCCGCCAAACCTTCTATTGGGCGTTTCCAAGTTAAGGTCACTTTCGATTTGTGACAAACTCCGACATCGTTTGATTGAGTGCGCAAGCGGGGACGATCGGTCCATTTTGTTTGGTATTTCATAAATGTGGGCTAGTAAGATTAAAACATGGAGCTCTAGAAATAGAAGATAATATAATAGAAATTTGAACGAGGCTGATAGACATGATATCTTTAAACAGCGCATATCTCACAAGATGTCAAATAAAAATACGGTTTCAAAACCAGATATGGGTTATACCGGAAACAAAGACATTTCATTCAGAAAAAAAAGAGATACGCACAATCACAGCATAAAACGATGACACCCGAAAAATCGCATTATGTACACATAGAAGAGGAAGAAACAGACATCTCGCAGCACATAGAAAAATGATTACAACTTCTCTAACGATGAACAAATAAACAAAATGGAGCAATAATGCCTTAAAAAAATAACTTAGAAATGGCATACTTCATACTACTCTGACTTATCATCGCAAATTTGCCTCAACCTACTAGGATGAATTAGCTCAGGAGATACACATCTCTTCAAGGCGGAGGATAAAGCTTGGTCCACCATCGAGTTCACTACCACTTCATCTGCTACAAGCGGCGAAACGCCCCGCTGTAAATAGTAGCAATCCACCTAAAAGCAGAATTGCAACCTAATCGCAAAGTAAACAAATGACTCAAAGAAACTGGGGTTCACAGAACGTTTACCTGGATTTGCTCAACTGCAAACTTCCCGTATGTTTGCAGGCGAATCGATTCAATAAACGATTTCAGCACTACTTTCACTATAGCTCCAATAATAGACGCTCTATTGAACTGGAAATGAGCACAATTTA